AGACGAGAACACTTCGAATGGTACTTGTATGGACATTGCTAGATTTCTGGTGAGAGTCTCTAACTCATTTATTCTTAGTGACTCAGTTTCTGTTCTGATTGACGGGAAGGGGTATCGTATCATCTTAAGGGAAGATTCATTTGGCCCCATTCGTATTAACTCTTCAAATTACAAAAAAACTTTCAATTGGATCAATATCTTCCGAGTCTGAGCATGATTGGTCTGATAGTCAGAAGATGGGGATTGTATCTAGAGTATTAAGGAATTCTATTCCCACAATACGAAGGGTGAAATCAATGGTTCTAATAGCAGTAAGAGGAAGACAAAATATGTTGAGAGTAAAAGGTGTTTAAGATATAATTTTGAGGCGACTGGGTGATGTTTCCATCAGGAAAACGTGGATACGAATAGAGTCTTCGACGAGGGTGTAGTTCTGGTGAAGGGGCGGAAGCGTAAGGGTGCAGGTAGTGGTGGATCAAAATCTAATTCAAAATCTTTGAATAACATCGTTGTATGTTCTGATGGTACTTTTGTCAGGGGCACGACAGTATCTTATCCAATTAGGGTTCCTCTTAGTAAGGTGGTTAGGAGGAAAGCTCCTAATAGACTTAAATTTAAACACATGTTGGAGACAGAAGGGTTGTTCAATAGCAGGAAGATTCGACCCAACGTGAAATATAAAAGGAATGGAAAATCTCATATGCATTCAAAATCCTCTTCTAGCCTGACTTTCAATGGTCCCAAGTTATCTGTGATATCTTCTGCTCCCCACTTTCCCCTTCCCATGAGCGACAACATTCATCTTTTTCATGGGGATCATTCTGACTACTCATACATTTGCAGGAATAATGGTAGGCAGTAGGAGTATTTGGATAACAATATTAATGGAAAATTGTGGACCTCTATTGCATCCCTCGGGGTGGTGGCAACTGATGGGAAGAGTGATATACTGAGTAATATTAAAGAGTTGGAGAGAGATGTTAATAAGAGCAAGGTGGGTACGAAGGAGCTATCAGATTTGTCTCGATGATTATTGGATCTCTGAACATTAGAGGGGGTGGTAGTATTTTGAAGAGGAGGAGAATTATCTCTATAATCTACAAAGATACAGTTTCGATTTAGAACAGCTTCAAAGGGTTAGGTTACTTGGGCATAAAGGTGATTTGGAAAAATGATGTATATTATGTGCTTAATATATACTCTCCTTGCAATTTCAACAAGAAAAAACAATTGTGGCGGGTTTTGTTGGATCTTAAAGAGAAATATGTGGATGGGGAATGGATTCTTTGTGGGGACTTTAATACCGTAAAGAACAGTAGAGAAATAAAAGGGAGATTCATGGTTGATCATAATGGTGGGGAGTGATTGGCCAAATGGTTGGTTCGAGAGACGTTTCAGACCATTGCCCTATTTGGTTAGTCAAAGATAACATAGACTATGGACCTAAACCCTTCAAGGTCAACAAGGAATGGTTCACTTTAAAGTTTTTTTTTACCTTTTGTAGAGAAAGAGTGGAAAAATCTTGTGGTGGTAGGGAGGAGCGATTTGGTGTTAAAAGATAAATTTAGACTCCTCAAAGAGAGATTAAAATGGTGGAACAAAGAGGTATTTGGGAGGATAGACTTGAAGGTTGAAGATGAAGTGAGGAAAGCGAATGAAGGGGGCATATTACTCGAGGAGGATTCTGTTGGAGGAAGGGACATCATCATTACTAATAGGAAAGAGGCGACCAGTCGCTTTTGGTTGAATTTGAGGATCAAGGATAATATGATCCTCCAAAAGTCTAGATTGAAATGGCTTAACAATAGAGATTCTAATAGCAGTTTATTCCATAAGGTGATGAAAGAGAGGAGAAGGCATAACCACATTGGGCCCATAAACACCACGGGCGGTACGATTGATTCGGTTACAGACATTAAGGAGGAAGTACATTCCCATTTTGCTAACAAATTTTGCGACCGGGAATGAAATAGGCCTTCTTTAGAAGGTATTTCTTTGAAAAGGGTTTATGAGGAGGATAATCTTTTTCTTGAATCTCCTTTCGAGGAAAGTGAGATTAAAGAATCTATTTGGGGTTGTGGAGGATCTAAAAGCCAGGGCCTGGATGGATTTTCGTTTTTCTTCATTAGGAAATGTTGGTCTTTTCTTAAAGATGATTTCATTCATTTCTTCAACGGATTTCATAATGGGGGAGTCATTTCTAAGGCGGCTTTCTTGACTTTGATCCCTAAATCTTCTAACCATCTTGGCTTGGATGATTATAGATCTATATGTTTAATTGGTTATTTGTATAAAGCGGTCTCTAAATTATTGGCGGGAAGATTGAAGCGCGTGTTGAATTTTATTATTTCCCCTTGTCAAAGTGCGTTTGTTTCGGGAAGACAAATCCTTGATGGACTTTTAGTCGCGAATGAAGTGGTAGATTAGGCGCAAAAGAAAGGGAGGAGTTGCTTCCTTTTTAAGGTCGATTTTGAAAAGGCTTATGACAAAGTGAATTGGAACTTTCTTAGATTTATGTTGAAGAAAATGGGATTCGGGAAAGTTTGGTTGAGATGGATGGAATTGTTAGTTTTTCAAAGTAAAATGTCGGTTCTTGTCAATGGGAACCCAACTAAGGAATTTTCTGTAGAGAGGGGATTGAGACAAGGAGATCTGTTTTCTCTGTTTCTTTTTGTTATAGTTACGGAAGGATTAACGAGTTTGGTGAAGAAAGCGATTAAGATAGGTGAATATGAAGGCTTTCTTATTAACGGAAAATGCATGGTGGACATCCTTCAATTTGCGGATGACACATTGTTGATAGGTGAAGGTAGTTGGATGCATGCATGGGCCATCAAGACGATGTTGAAGGCGTTTGAGATGGTTTCGGGCCTTGGTATCAATTATCAAAAAAGCAAATTAATTGGTATCAACATTAGTAACAACTTGTTGGAAGCCGTGTCTTTTCTCTTATCTTGTAGAGTGGAAGGAAAGGAATTTGTTTTCTTGGTATTCATGTCGGATCTAACCCTCGGAGGATTTTTTTCTTAGAAGCCTCTTGTGGAGAAAATTAAGAGGCATCTCTCAAGTTGGAAGAATATATTTCTTAATCTTGGGGGAGAAGTACTCTCCTTAAATCGATATTGTGTTATATCTCTATATTCGCGATGTCCTTTTACAAGATGTTGGTGAAAATTGTGAAAGAAATTATGAAACTTCAAAGTAATTTCTTGTGGGAAGGCTCAGAGGAAAAGAGGAAGATTTATTGGATGGGGTGGAATGAGGTGTGCTTACCGTTTGATAAAGGAGGGATGGGCCTTACAAGAATCGGTGATTTCAATTATGCTTTTCTTAACAAATTGAGATGGAGGATCCTTCAAGGCTTCGACTCTATTTGATACAATCTTTTATGTGCTCGGTATGGTGATATTTGTTCACAGGTGATCATCGGTGAGAACCCTCATAAAGTATCTACTCTCACTTCTTCGTGGTGGAAGGATATTTTGTCTCTTGGGAGAAATTCTATGAAGGATGTTTTTGTCAAAAACTGTAATTTCAATATTAAGAGAGGCTTCACTACTTCGTTTTGGCATTCAAAGTGTTACAAGATTGCAACTCTTAAAGATGATTTTCCTGCGCTTTATTCAGCTTCACTTTTAAAGGGGGTTTCGGTGGCGGGGATGGAGGGGAGAAGAATGGTGTTGGGGAGACTTGGGAGTTCCGGAGTTCCGGCTGCTATTGTTTTTAGTTCTGATATGTAGTCCGATTTTGAGGAGTTGCGGGCTGCTTTGGGTGCGATTCAATTCAGCACTGCTGGCCGCGATTATGTCGTGTGGTCGAGCGGTGTCGAGGGTTGTTTTTCGATTAATTCGTGTTACCATTTACTTGCAGATTTTCACATACCTTTTGTACTACTGGCAACTATGTCCAAAAATAACTAATCAACAATACAATAAAATATGCCAAACTAACATACAGTTGAATGCAGTAGAAAAGTGAACTTAGTTATACATTAATATAAAAGAACTAAAATTACATTTGAGTTTGTTTTGTTTTAAAAAAATTTACAATCTTTACAATCCACAAATGCATGTTAGAGATAAATGTCGGATTAATGTGCAAAACAATAATTAGTGCATGCTAGGTATGACAATAAGACGAAGCGATTTTTAGCATTACAAACCCCCCACTCCACCCCAATCTATTAGAGATGATTATTTAACATCTATCCTTAAAAGCCGTAACCAAAATATCTTACTAATTTTGAATAGATTGGATTCAAAATAGTTACGATGGGTGTGCAGGGTGGATATCACAATTGTAGATGTAATGAATGCACAACTTTCCCATGCAAATTGTTGGAATTCTCCAACTAATTTAAAGCAAAATAGCACGATAATCTTTATCTCAACACAACCTATTCCATTATACTACTATCAAAATTTGTGTATTCACAATGGGACCGATTCTACCATCCACATCTCGCAAGGATTTCCGACAAGTGGATCCTGATAACTCAACTACTCAATAACAAAGAAGATTTGATATACAGAGACAACCAATAGAACCTCCACGATTGTGCAAAAGAGCACAGGTACCACAAAGTTTTAGGAGAAAACTGACAGTTACATATGGCTATTTCTGTGACATACTAGAGTTTGGAAGTGTAAGAATACATGGAAATGTTTTTACCATTAGAATTTTGTGTACACGAGGACAGTATTCAATTGATCAAATTAAAATTGTTTAAGATTTTAATCTTTCATTTCTTCCATTACTGTCCCCGTATACATGCAGATATTCAATGGCAAGGATAGTGTGCATATATAGTTTTGAAAGTGTAGTGCGGAAACGGCCAATACAGATATGCAAAGTTGGGGCCAAAGTACCAGACAGACAAAAGTCTAAACTAAAGTTACAGAAAAGGATGCCATGGTTGAGTCAGATGTGTTGGAGAGTAACTACCATATACAGAACTAAGTTTATATGCTGCTTTTACCCAACCTTTGAAGTTCGATTACTCATGAATTATGAGTCTTCGATAACGTCTCGAACACCATGTCAATGAATCTATCCTCCTGGCACCAGAAAATTTCATTAGTGGAGAAACTGTTTAGAAAGTTTATACACCAGGCAGAAAGAAAATATAAGCATCCCACAGAAAGGGTTAAACAGAGCATATGTTCATCATTTCACCACCTATACATACATTCTATTTTGTAAAAAGATGGCAATTTTATTACTTCAATTCTCTTGTAGAGGTTCAATTTAAAAATTAAAATTATAAACACAAGCAGTAATAATTATGAAACACTAAAAAATGCATACCAAAAATCTAATATCACACTTGCAATAAAAATGGAGTTTTCAACCATCAAACTGGTAAAATTCTTACTTTGTGGTCTTGCCTCTTATTTCTCAATTGCATATATCTCGATTTTGTTGCTATCTTACATGAAACAATCTTAATATCAACAGTTTGGATAATTATTATTAAGTGTAGTTTCTTTCTTATTGTAAAAGTGTATACTATTTTCGATGTATTTGGAAAGTCTGATGGGGACTAATTTCCGAAAGTAAAAATAAAAAAATTGGCCTCCTATGTTGTGCCCTAACTAAATTATATTATCCTTCCAACCAAAATTTTCTCTTTTAGCAATTGACAACCAGTGGGCAGTAGTTATAGCTCAAACTTATTCACTCACCCAAAAAAGGTTATGGCTTAAACTGGACATTCGGCAGTGGGAATTGCTCCAATGTTAAATACCCATTGTCGGTCACAACACTAGTAGGTAGTAGTCCTTACTTACCTTTTTAAACACCTCCTCCACCCCCAAAAAGAGTAACAACTAATCTTATCTCATTCCACTAAGTGCATAAAGTTTTATTACCCCCAAAAGAGCACTGAATAACAATTTACAACTTAAAAATACAATCAAATTATCAATGCTCGAGCAACGGAGGGAACAACACTAAAATGACAAAACCATGAAGTACCTGAACCAGTGATATAAGTGCATCACGGACTTTATCCCTGCTGATAACCAGACTATTTGGCATGGAGATAGAAATAGGGGTATGAGAAGGAGGATTAGGTGGTGGGAAGGGTTGAAGCAGTGGAGTGCCATATTGGTGTGGCAGATTCTGGGAATGATGAACAGCCGCACTAGGTGGCACAGGTGAAGAAACAGGTGGAATTAATGGTAATAAAGGGCTGGGTGCAAGAAAATTGGAAGGCTTAACAAGATTAGTAACTGGATTGCCACTGTTAATTGTTTCAAGAGAAGTAGATGGCATTTGAAGAGAATGTACAGGAGGCAAAAAACCACCAGGAACATTAGAAGTGACACTAGCAGCATGGTAGGGCTGCTGAAAACTATCTACATTAGAAGCATAAGGTCCAGTAAACTTAGGTGCCTGCAACAATTGAAATCAAAGGTTTCTAAAGCCAGAGACATCTATAATCATAAAATCAAAAACCAAACTTAAAATTGACATTGATAAAGTATTCAGCAAAAAGCCACAAAAAATTGATATGCAGCTAATGACATACGTTGAAGAAATTTGTCAATACAGAATCCCCAACAGCGTCAGTTGCAGTAGCAGCAGCTGAAGATGACTCTACAGGGCTTTCGGTTTTGATTGATGCTGGGTCATGTTCTTGAAACTCACTACAGCATATAAAAACATCAGGCATAACATGCAATGCAATAGTAATGGCTAACGAACCCAACTTGGACAGGTAATTAAGTGGCAAACAGATATAGGTTGAAGTTTGAAGTTTGTACAAGCACAATCAACGGCCAGGAATGATTGACCTTCTCATTGAATACTTTTATCAAATAAAGTTGTTTTCTAGTTTGATATCACAAGTTGCATCACAAACAGAATAACAAAAATATATTGTTGTTTTGAATCATTTAACATATAGGCAGCAGGCAACGCATTGGGATAAAATGTACAGTAACATTTAAGAGGTTAAAGAACCCTGCATACTATTCCGAGAGATAGAAACAGAAATAATTAACATTTTTACAAACAATCTATAACTCCTTACCTTTTGTTAGAAGGCATTGTTGTATTTGAAGGTGCCTTTGGGTATGCAGTAAGAATCCTGCAAATTTGATTTTGCAAAATTACACATTTATATTAGTGGCAAATAGGCATCCTGCAGTTTGCTTACACCGCATAAACAGACAAGGAAAACTAACATACCTATTAAAGAGATTTGCAACTTCTTCAGATTCTTCAGCATTATAAAACCATATACCATTAACTTCTTGTGATGCATTCCGATACAACAAGTATGGATTCTTAAGTTCATACTCAAAATCCAATAGATTCTCCACTAGATTTTCTGCCATAACAAACATCACAGAAAGTAGTCAAATAGGGAATAGATGACACAGATTCAGACACACACACAACCAACGCAGTTAAGATCAGATACACTTCTGGTAAATATATTTTATTCGTGGCAATAATTAATTTAGAAGAATCAGCAGATAACAACATCTAATTATCTATCATGGAATTAATATTAGTTACATTCGGATATTATTAGTTCAAGAATTAAGATTTGCAGAGCAATAGTAACAATAACAAGTTCATTAGGTTTCACTTTAATGCTAGATACTTCTAGTAAATATGTTTTCATTGTGGCAATAATTAATTTAGAAGAAATCAGCAGATAAAAACATCAAAGACAAACTAGTTGATTGATTCTGATCTATGAAGCACGAACATCGAAAACACAACACCGACACAGACACGTCGATACCGGTAATAATTTGAAAAAAATGAATAAATTAAACATAATCACAAGTGTCTTTGTCAATTTCAGACACGGACACTGATGCACATTTTTTCAGAGGTGTCGGTGTTACACAGATTCAGATTGATATATTTTTAAAGTGTTTCATCTAATTATCTACCATGGAATTAATATCAACTACATTCGGTTATTATTTGTTCAGGAATTAAGATTTGCGCAGCAATAATAACAGTAACAATAACAAGTTCATTAGGTTTCACTTTAATGCAATCATCAAAACAGCATAACATGATCTTATACAAGTATAAAGGATCCTTATACCAAATCTGAAAAACGATATAGAACAAATCTGAACCTGTATTTCTGCGATTCATAACGATAAACTGAAACTGTGGCAGTGCATTCCTGAACAAAAATTACAACAACCGATTCAAGATTCAAGATCCAAGTAAACAAGAATGCAAGAGAAATACATCATAGAAATTCACTACCTCTTGACAACAAACAGAGATCCTTCAACATCTTTGCGACTCCACTGATTAGTCTCGATGTTGAAATCGTAGAACGTAACGTGCGCGGCGGTGAAGAGAATCTCGTCGATGAACGGATCCATTCGCTGGAGAACAGTGAGATTGAGCAACTTGGTGGTGCTCTGATCGAGATTCGGCGTCAATTTCTTAGTCTGAGACATTGAATTTCAGTTCTGAACCCTCGCGGAAAGAAACTTGACTAGAGAAGAACAAGAGAAGAAAAGAATCTTGACTGGGTTGTTACAGAAGAAATCAAGAATTGAGTAGTCTCACTCACTACGTACCAATAACCTAACTTGATTCAACTGATGAATAAATGAAAATCAAAGTTGAATCTACTTCGACCGAAAATGCTCGCACCATTTACGTATATATATTTTCTATATTTTTATAAATTTCAACTAGTGTTACCGTATACGTATTTGTTTCATACGTATATTTTTTAATACTAAAATGTTTGGTACTCATAAAAAAATAATAATTAAATGTATAATTAATAAAAAATGAGTTTTTTAAAATATAAAATTATATGTAAATCATTTTTTTAATAGTTATTTTTAATTAATAATAAATTTAATCATTACTGAAACATCATTGGTATTTATTATTACCATTATGAAAAGTGTTTTAGATTAGGTCTGTCTTTGCCCTAACTCTCAGTGAGGTCCAATTCAAGTGTGTCAATCTGACCGGTACTATCCTCGAACACGGCGGGCAACTACCACCCTTTCCTCGTGAGGAGACAACCTCACCATGCAGGGACAACGCCCAAATAGACTTAAGACGCTCACCCCCGACCATGAAGGCTTTGAGGACACCTCAACTAGCTCGTCGACCAAGACTGATCCCCTGTCGACCTCGCGTCTGGCTGAGATCACCCATGACGAGCAGACGCTCCTCCCGAGCATCCTCCTCGTAGGGCTGACTATCAACGTCTCCGAATATTGCAGAGTCTTCACGGTCCCAGAAAGATTGCATCCATATCCTCCTGACCTTGCGGAGGACGTCATCTAGGTAGGGGACCACGTGCGGGTCCTCACTACTCACGTAGGGCCTGGTAGTCTCTATGTTGAACTGCTTGACCAGCCCAATAAAGATACCTTGACCTAGCGCTGAGGGCTATAAATACTTTCTCTTTCGAGAGAGTCAGGTATTCAACACTTTCTAAGCTCATACTTGTTTGCTCATTCCCAAACTCATTTTGGTATCAGAGTGTCTTGCAGGTATCCCCCCCACCCACCTCACTCTCAACTTCTTCTCGAGCTAGCTGTGACGGTCCATTCTGGTCAGGTACGATCAGTGGCGCCGTCTGTGGGAAACTTACTTCCTCGTCTTCCATTTACTCAAGACTAAAGCTAAATCACTCTCCTGACTGTCATGGGTGATCAAACAGCAGAAAACAACTTGAACGTCCGCATCATCGACACCAACAACAATGTCGCCGACAATCTTGGCATCGACAATGCTGGTACTGCTGGCTACAACACGGCCCCCACCGTTAATATGCCCGGGCCTTTGGAACATATCGTCATCATCACTATCTCGCCGACCTGAAGACGATCGACCACCGCCTTAGAACTATCAGACCAACCGGTTCCATGAGGTCCCCGTTCCCGTCGGAGCAGACGCCGCAACCAGGGCACTGTTCACAGTGATAAATTAGATGAATTAACTTATCTTCTCTCAAGGAGAGAGATTGAGGGCGCTCGAATATGCTCGGAGAGCCCCCAGAAGACACAGGAGGCCCCAGTCTCCTCCTCATCGCCAAGTAGAGGAACGTCCCCAATCTCCCCGCGGAGACGTAGGCGAGATGTCTCTCGAAGTCCTTCTCCCCGACTAATCGGGCGACGCCCCACATTAGAGAGGGACCAGCCTATTGACACAGGGAGACGCGATCATGTCCCCTCGCGTCAGGAACAAAGACCCCCTGGAGACAACAGGGGAAATAACGAACGGTCGTATCGCCCAAGAAACGCTCCGCGCGACCAGGGCCGCCATAACCACCACAACAAATCTCCCTTTCGCTCGCCAGATAGGAGTGACTAAGACGAACCCCGTGGTCCCTTGTCACAAGCCATCATGGAGGCACCCATCCCCCCGGGCATGGAGAAGCCTCCCCGTATTAAAGAGTATGACGGAATTGCCGACTCGGTCGACCATATAGACGGGTTTGAGGTAATGCTGCATTACCATAATGTCGGGGGACCAATCAAATGTCGGTTGTTCCCCGTGACTTTAAGGAAAGCTGCGATGGACTGGTACAAGAGTCTTGCCCTGGGGTCAATTACCTCCTTGCGAAATTTAAAGAATCAATTCATCAGTTCGTTCACTGCTTCACGACGGCACCCAAAGACCGAAGCACCCCTCGAGGCTATCGTCCAGAGACACGGGGAGTCCTTGAGGGAATTTATTGATCGGTTAAACCGGGAGGCCATCCATGTCCCCTGCATCGATCACATGAAGAGATACCTGCTCGAGAGGGGACTCCTCTCGGACACAGAATTAAGAAAGGCCGTAGGCATCGAACCGCCCTGAACATTCGATACCCTCCTCGAGAAAGCCATAGCGTACATGGACTACGAGGAGAAGGAAGCGGCCAATAGAGCTCGGGACCCTGGGAATTATGGATCAACCAGTAATCTACGACAAGATTCCAGCCCTCCTCGGAGAACTGGCGAGAAGAGAAGGGATGACAAACCCCGAGACCCTCGTGGCAAAGAGGACCCTCGGGGAGGTTTACTGAGTACACTTCGCTAGCGGCTTCCCGCGAGTGCATTTTGGCATAGTGTGCAAACACAAATTTCAAGGACGGAGGCGTCAAGCGTCCTCGCCTCGCTCCTGCTAAACCCGGGGCAGATCGGAGCAAATACTGCCAATACCTTCGAAGCCATGGACACTTGACTGAAGATTGTGTCCATCTCAAAGATGCTATTGAGACACTCATAAAAGGGGGAAGACTAGGGCAATATCAACGTGGTGACGTGTAACAGCCTAATTTTGAACTACGTATCAGAGCGACCAACCGATTTTGAACTAATAAGGCTAAGCAAAACTTCATTCTTGATTACATGCACGTTACCAACAGAGGGCAACATTCAAACAGTAAGGGGTGAGATGCTTAAATCGTATAAGTGAGCGCATGATAAATCATATATTAGAACCAGGTCATGCAAAAATCACCACTTCACAACAATAATCGCAACAGGATATCATCAAAATGCAACAATTAATTCATCAACACAACAACTCAATTGTACAACTTAGAATGCGACTCAATGTTATGCAAATGTATGTGGTACCATTAGAGCAGGACTCCCAACTTAGAAAATCTGCCAATAAATAGAGGCATCAACAAGGCATAAGCCTTCAACTTAATATTTTACCAATCCAGGCCAACGTGGTGCCAATCCAGGCCAACTTAATAATGCAAATGTATGTGACTTAATGAATGCAATAATCACATACAACACAATAATGTATTCGACAATATTGGCATAAGCCTACAACTTAATCAACTTATCAATCACAATATATTCAACTACAACAATGTATTCAACAACGTTGGCATAAGGCTACAACTTAATCAACTTATCAATTACAACATATTCAACAACAACAATGTATTGAACAACGTTGGCATAAGCCTACAATTTAGTACGTCACAATAACAATACCATATCACCAATTAGTAATGTGACAACAACATAATTTATTCGATAATAACTTATTCACAGCAATAACCAACAACACAATCACATATACCAGAACCATTCAACTTAATTCGACTTCACCTGCAAATCAATTTTATTCTACATGATTCTAACAAAACAAATTAACTAAAATTACCCATATTTATATACGACTTATTCCGACAATTTCAACTAATTCCGATTAACCAATTTTATCGGCCAAATCTACAAATCCGGCTAATTGATATTGCTTAATATAATGTTATTACTACTTTTTATTTATACTGCTACTAATCAATTTATTCTACTAAATTAAGCTACCTCTGCTATTTATCTCACTGCCATTATTGGTCTATGTCAAAACTACTTGTTCGCTATCCACAACTTTCACCGATAACTCTCTGCTAAATTATTACATCTGCCACTAATATACTACTCTGTTAAATTATTTATTATCAACTTTACAACTAAAACCATCACTATTATTTTAATTTCCACATCTACTACTAACATAATTCTACTAATTATTAACTCTGCTACTTTATTCTACTGTTCCTCTAAATTTACCACTTATTATTATTTCTGCTATTATCCTCTATCACATAAAATAACTCTACAAAAATATACTACTTCTATTAATGTTTCTTCTGCTATAACATGCTACTGATAAGAATAGTTAATTTGTTCCCAAACTGTTTTTTCTATTAATAAGACTCTATTCTGATACCATATAAAAAAGATTATACAACATAGTGCCACAGAAACAGCACAAGTGCCCCTGCCCAAAGGTGTGCCACACGGAACACCCTCCCACTTCCTCATAGTGCCGATCGACACCTCCATGACCACTACCAGCTGTTGTTTGAAAGCATCCAACCAACAATAAGCTGCCGTTCGGCAGCATTCCAGACACAGTTTCCCTTCTCTATTTTCTTCTTCTTTCATCCACTCGGTATTATTTTAATAGATTTTCTGCTACTGTCTACTATTCTAAATCCAACCCAGACAAGTATATAACACAGTAATACATTAATTCGTTGACAATTCTTTAATCACATCAATTATTAATAATGTTTATCACAACAACACAAACTAACACAAATCAACAGACAATAATAATCCCACAAACTAATTCCCACATACAAAATATCATATACCCCATTATAGGATAAGAAACTCCACCCTTACCTGGTTTAGTTTGATGACTACTTTATACGTCTCCGATTTGAATCTCCTCTTGGCCTTTTGGTTCAACTTCGCGTAGCTCTCTTCTTCTCCAAAAACCTTATTTTCCTTTTTCTCTTCTCCTTCTTGATAACACTAACTATCTTCCTTTTTCTTATTTTCTAATAATAATATATATTATTCTATTAATTCAAATAATAGTGTTTCTCTTAGTGGGCCTACATACACACCCCACTATTACTACTATCACAACATAAGCCCAATTAAATAAATAGTCACATAATATA